CATTTCCCTTTTTGTTTCTTTGTCTGGTTTTACAGGTTATTTTCATTTAATTGATATTTTTGTCTTTTTAACATATATCTACATTTTTTATATGTGATGTACATATTTTGTATATAGCCGGACATTTTTTGACCTATGCATTAACCATTGATCAAATACATAATAAATATTTTTATGAAATATATGTTTTCAAGTCTACTATTTTGTAAATATTTCACATTTTATCTATAAATTGTGAACAATATGCACATAAATTTAAAACTTTTAAATACATAGTTTGAAATTTCCTAAATACTTCTTTTCAACATTTTTGTAAGATAAAAACTTTTGTTACATTTGTACAATTTGGTTTCAAAATTTTACAAACACATTTTTAAACCCGTGAACATTTCTAAAAATGTAATGTACATTTGTTTAATGTACGACAAATTTATTTCAATTACACGAACATTTTTTACATTGCGCAAACTATTTTTTCTATGCCACGTACATTTTTCCAAAAGTGTGCCACTTTTAGAATCTCATAAAAAATTAGCACATATGGTTAAAAAATCATAAATATCAGATACATTTTTACACGTTTAATAATTTTCTGTTGCATGATTAACATTTTTCAAAACAATTGTAATTTCTTTTTTGTAAGATATATTAAAAATGTTTTTGACATATTTTTGGTAAGATATCTCAAGAATAGAAACAAAATAAAACTAAAACAAAGATTTGACGAAAAAATAGAATGAAAAACAGAACAAAACATGTGTGTCGTGACATCAGCATGACACCACACTTGGTTACTAGGCCTGCGTGTACCTGTTACATGAGGCGAGGCCAGCTAGGGTCTCGCAATGGGCTACACATAGCCGCGCCCCTATTTGACAAACTACGTGCCAAATAGAAGTTACGCCCGCGTGGGAGAACTTGAGAAGAAAATCATGCAAACATGGGGGTACATCAGGCCCAGCAGTGGCCCACGTGAATGTATATTTTCACATGTTTCATTTAAAATGGATCCTTAATTTTCCCAAACCCTATATGGCGCCTTCATCGCCAGTTAAAGGCTAGTTTGCCAACCGACACAAAACCACACCCCCTCTAGACTGGGACGACTATTTACCCTTCTTTTTCTGTTAAACTTCAAAAAAGAGTGCGGGTGACCTGACACGAAAGTTATGACGTCTTCGTTGAGAGATAACCACACTAACCAACTAGGACATTTTAAAGCTAGTGCCAATTCACTCCAGCTTCTCCTTTTCTTCTTTTTTAGTTCGCAGAAGCCCCTGATTTTCGGAAGCTTCCAAAGGCTTCCCGAACCAGTTTTCAGGATCACTGGTCGTCTCCAGACAGTTTTTTCTTTTTTTTCTTGCTCCTTTTTCTGTTTCTTTATTTTTTAAAATTTTATATAACTTTTTTAAATTTTAATTTTCCCTTTCATAAATACTTGAACTTTTTTCAAATATATGTTTTCCTATAAAAAAATCAATGAATTATTTCTAAATTCATGAACTTTTTATAAAAATGGAGAAACGTTTTTCAAAACCCATGAAATTTTATATCAAATTAGGGAACCTTTTCAAAACCCATGAAATTTTTTCTAATTCGTGAACTTTTTTTCACAATTGATGTACTTTTTCGAAAATTGGTGGCTATTTTCCAAATGTGTGAACTTTTTTCAGGTTTGTGAACTTTTTTCAAAATTTCTGATTTTTTGTCAAAACCGGTGAACTTTTCTTCATAATCGATGAAAATTTTAGTTTTTTGAACTTTTTGTCAAAATTGATTAATTTTTGTCAAATTTGTGAACTTTTCTTTCAAACTGGTGAACTTTTTTTCAAAATAGATGAAGAATTCTTCAAATGTGCTATTTTCCCCTAAAATCTATAAACATGGTTAAACGATCAATGGAACAAATCGAGTGAAGCGAGCTCTCAGGCTACTTGGCCGGCCCAAGAGACCGGGCACGTGAGCGCCGGTCCGGCAACCTAATGTTCGAAGAGCTGACTAGGAGCTCCCTTTAATTTGTAATGTTCATAGTAAATCCTATGTGGCGTCCATTGATGTCAAAATATGCTAAAACCTATATAGCTCCTCCAGCGCTGTTTTAGTATGTTTTACAAACCGGCACAAACCTTCGGTCCGAACGGGCAGCCCATGTAAGTCAGGAAGCGGGGAAGTTCGTCCGAGTTTTGTGAAGCTTCTGAAAGCTACCAGGCCGGTCTAGTGTTTTTATTCTTCTTTTCCTGAACCAAGTTTTGTTCAGTTTATCTGGGGTTTTTTCGTTTCTTTTTGTTTTTTTTCAAATGCGTGAACTTTTCTCAAATTGTTATATTGTTTCAGTTTTGTGAGTCTTTTTAAATTTCATGAACTCTTTCAAATCCGTGAACTTTTTCAGTTCTGCTAACTCTTTTAGTGAATGTTTTCTAATTTCATGAACTTTTTCGAATCCATGAACTTTTTTCAATATTTTGCTAACTTTGATAGTGAAGTTTTTGAACATTCATGAAGTTTTTTCAAATTCATGATTTTTCTCAAATCCATAAACTTTTTTAGGTTTTGCTAACATTTCTACTGAACTTTTTCTGATTTATGATTTTTTAAGTCCCTGCACTTGTTTCAAATTCATGAATGTTTTTTTTCAAATTTGTGAACTTTTTCAAATTCATGCACAATTTTTTAAATTCGCAATCATTTTTTAAAACTCATGAAATATTCAATTTGGGAATATTTTCTAAATTCATGAACATTTTTGAATTCGTGAACATTTTGTAAATCCATGATCGTTTTCATAGATGTTTTTGACAGCTCGCAAGATAATAAAAAACACAGGATTGCGCGAGTGCGAAGAAAACAGTCGAGCGAGCTATATGGGCCACGACACACGAGGGGAACGTGTTGGCGCCAGTAGTTTCGCGGCGCTTTAGGCGCCAACAAGGAGGACTCTCAAAATTGTCGGCCCCATTTGACGTGCTCACATCAGCATGTTCATCTTATCTTCAGTTTTTTGGAGGCTTTTTCGAGAAAACAGACAATTGCAATAACTTTTATATCGAGTTAAATATTTAAAGCCATATTAAATAACAAAAACATACTTCAGAAATGGTCAGTATGTGTTTAAAAAACATGCTAAGTCTGTCTTAAAAAATGTTCACCATATATTACAAAATAGTTCACCATATATTACAAAATAGTTCACCATATATTATAAAGATCTACCATGTATTAAAATGTTCATCATACATTATTAAGAATGTTCATATAATGAAAAATAAAAAATGTACTTTGTATATTACCAAAATGTAAACCATATATTGAGAATATGATTATTGTATAGGGAACCTATGCATAAGAAAGAAAAACAAAAAGGAAAAACCAAAACCCAGAAGAAAAGGAAATGAAAAAAATGGGGCAAAAATTACCTAAAACCAGAATGAAAACCGAGGAAAAAGATAAAAATGAATTATAAATTATAAATAAAAAGGAAAATAAAATGGCTGGAAACTAGACAGCCCAGAAAAACCGAACAAAAAAAGCAAAAATAAAAATAAGTGAAACCGCTGATGAAGTTAAGGAACGCCACTTGGGCTGGCCCGGAGATCTATCACTCACTGGCGTCGCATTAACAATTTGATGCATGTAATCCTAAAAAGAAACTATTTGATGCATGTGGGCGTCAACTAGAAATTGCCACGTGATACATACATTTGTTTGCACAAGCATCACACACCCTCCATCTTATCACTGCCTTTGTAGTGCCGCTGGCCACCTCTCCCACTCTGGAATCCCCACAATAATTGTGTTGTTCTCCTCAAGAACTCTTTTGTTATACTTGTACCTCGTCACCGCCCACTGGAAGACTACCATGTTAGCTATATAGAGAACAAGAAGAAGAACACATAGTAGTAGTTGGGTCACCGCTCATTTTGGTTGTCCCCACTCTGGCTCTTGCCGCTACTATCTCATGGCCGAGTCGATGAGAGCGGGTTGTTGACAAAGTTCCCGACGCCAAGTTCACTCGTGTAGAAGGTGGTTCCGAGGCTCAGCACCCCCTCCCACGACTAGTCTCCGGCCACAACGTGTTCATCAATATGAGATTGTCATCTATTAACCGTCAAAAAAAAAAGATTGTCATCTATTCTGGCGCACAACTCAAACGACTCTTCAAAACTTTAGATGTTACTCTCCGTTGTGCTGGTATGATTTCATGGTCCCCCCTCCCCCAAAGTTTTGGCAGAACACCAAGATGCAAAATGTTGAGCTAGGGATGCCGACTTAGAAGGTAGGTCTTCAATGTACAACGATCCTTGTTGTTCGTGCGTGTTTCAGTTTTCTTCAAATTGATATGGGTTTGTTAGTTAATCTATACAATCTAATTGATATGGGTTTGTTAGTTAATCTATACAATCTTTTTCTTGATATTGTCTCTTGTAAATACGTAGAAATATTGCCCCACAAAAAAAAACATAGAAATGTTATCAAACACGAATGTTCAAGCTTGAATTACCGTATGCAGTTGATTTTTTTTATTTTTTTGCATGGGTATGCAGTCAATTTGAACCACTGCTATGCACTTTTTGGTCTACATCCTCGAAGAAAAACAAAATTATGGAGGAGAAACCTCTGACCGTAGTTCCAACTACGACGGTTACAGGTCGAGTATCGATGAGGGAAATAACACTGCGTACACTTCTCAGTACGTGTCGCGTAGAGCAAACACAGAAATTGAAGAAAGTTTTTTCGTTTTTGGAAATTGATGAAAGCTACTAGCACCACAGAACCAGGGACGCGTTGGATCAGGTGCCTGGTCCAAAGAAACTGGACCGCGACACATTCTAACCACCGCACTGAACCTCGCACCTGCACACGATGCCTCCCCGGCGGTCGCAGCTTAACCTGTATGGTCCATGGTGTCCGCGAGCGCATCGATCCAACCATTTAAAGCTGCTTCACGTTTCTATGAGTATTAGTTAAGTTCGGAGTTTAAGCGGTCTTCCTATTTGCCGGCCATGCAAGTGCCGGAGCAGGACCTGATGAGCCCTGGCGGCGCTTCGTCGTCGCTGTTGTTCCCCACCTCCTCGCTGCCACGCGAGGGTCGGATGATCACCGTGCTGAGCATCGACGGCGGCGGCGTGCGCGGGATCATCCCCGGCACCATCCTCGCTTTCCTCGAACAAAAACTCCAGGTGACCTTTTCCAAATACTTTCATCATGCCTGCTCTTGCATGCATGCATCCAGTTTTCCACGTATAGTGTAACATGTTCTTTTTTTGCTTTTTTTTTTGAAAGCACTGGTAACATGTTGGTCTAACGAGTTGTTTGGGTGTGTAGGAGATTGATGGGTCGCCGGACGCGAGGATCGCGGATTACTTCGACGTGGTCGCCGGAACGAGCACCGGTGGTCTGGTGGCCACCATGCTCACCGCGCCCAACACCCAGCGCCGCCCGCTCTACGCCGCCAAGGACATCAATAAATTTTACCTCGAGCACTGCCCGAATATCTTCCCTGCCGTCTGGTGAGGATTACATACTGTATTTCTTTTTTGAGGGGTGTGAGGATTACATACTGTATGACTTGTTGGAGATATTAGCACTTTTCCGATTAGACTTATCCACGAGTAAACAGTAAGCATGGCATAAAAGGTATGAATCTCATAGCGATACCTAAGCATACTAGTGCGTGCAGAACATAGAATCAAACCTTCTATGAGCAGCACATATACGGCTAGCATAAGTACGAGTAAACGAGGGATGAACAGATCATACCCTTCGGTTGGCCAGGCCAACGCGGCGGTTGCAGCAGCAGCCTCGGCGTCGTCCGTGGCCTTCTTCTTAGCAGCGGCGTCATCGGCCATGGTGTCGATGCAGAGTAAGTAGTGGAAGCAGAGGCGAACAGAGTTGGGGATGAATCGGGAGCAGTCGCGTCGAGACGCTCCCCAAAAATCTTATTGCCGTTCTCCCGGGTAGGATCTCGAACGACAGGGTTCCGGAGGCACCTGCTCTCCCGACCAGCCGTGCACGCGGTCGTCGGGATGGGATCGCCGAAGGCAGCACAGAGTGAGAAACAATAGATGACGGTTAGGTCATGCGATAGGGAGTGAGTGAACTGAACTAGGTTACTTCACTGGCCAGAGCCTTCTTATATAGTCCGTAAGGAAGAAAGTCGTGGGCCTTGCTGAGGCCCACGACCGAGTCGGCCCACTCCCGGCAAGGGAGTCGACAAATACGCGGGTCCCGACAAGGGAGTCGATGAATCCCGGCAACGCAAGTCAGCCCACAGTCCAACGTCTTGGACAGTGGCCCACCTGTTAACGATTCGTTAATTAATCCCTGATTAATTAATTCATTTTTGAGCGGCAAAAATAAGCTTCGGCTCATTCCCGCAACCCGCGGCGCGCGCGTCGTGACGAGGCGTGGCGAGGCGGGCGGAGGAGGAGGAGGAGCGCGCGTGTACCACCCCTCTTCCCAAGCTCCCAATGACAAGTGGTAGAGCAACCCTTATAATGGGGTCTCAACTCTCCTCAACTAGCAAGGTGGGACTAAACTTCCCATCACCTGCCATCTCATACATGGGCCTCAAGATTAACCAGGGATTAGTGTCTTATATGGGCCTAAGCCCATCCATAATCCAACAATCCCTCACCAGATCTCGAGGCACATAAGTTTGTGACCTATTCCAAACAATGTTTGATATACCAGAATTTTCAGTGGAGACTGTTAAGTTGAACTTCCACCTAGAGCAACAGTATTAGACTTCTTCACAACTGAACAATGGACTATGCCTTGAATTGTCAGTTTGGCGTGCAGAAGTTTCGCCTATTGTCAGCTGATACATGGCTGCCGAAGGCTAAACCCCACGGATGGAGCTTATTAGTCATACTCCGTACCTTCTCATGAGCTTAATAGAGATTACTCAATCTCATAGACTGTGACCAGCAGTCGGGCTCACATATGTGTGTTCCTCCAAAGAATGCTTTGTAGGTTAGCATCTTGCTTACACAAGCTTTGGAACACATTAAGACAAAAGTCAGCCCGCCTTACAGAATTGAGAGTATTGTACATCTCCAACGGAGTGGGTTAATTAAGGATACTCTCCTCAATTGGCCGCTGGATTGTTTTCTCAGGTCCTAATTCACGGAATCTCCGATCACATAGGTTGGGTTACCCCCATGGCAACTTACGTGGGTCTCATACCCATCTCCCTTGATGCATTTTCTATCACAATCCGTGATAGCCCTTTCGTAAAAGGGTATGCCAGATTCTTAGCCGTCTGGATATAATCCAACGCTATTACTCCAGAGTTTCTTGATTTTCTAACAGATTTCAATCTTCTTTTTATGTGCTTTGTGGATTTCATGTTGTCCTTTGAACTCTTAGCCTTGGCAATCACTGTTTGATTGTCACAGTTCATAAGGAAAGCCGGCACTGGTTTATCAACCATCGGCAAATCCATCAAAAGCTCTCGAAGCCATTCTGCTTCAATGCATGCTGTGTCTAATGCTGTGAGTTCTGCTTCCATAGTCGATCTGGTTAAGATTGTCTGCTTGCAAGACTTCCAGGAAACAACACCACCACCAAGTGTGAAGACATGTCCACTTGTGGCTTTCATCTCATCAGCATCAGATATCCTTCGAATCACTATACCCCTCAAGTACCGTCGGGTACCCAGAATAGTGAATTCCATAGTTCACAGTACCTTGCAAATAACGCATCACTCGCTCAACAGCATGCCAGTGCGCATCTCCCGGATTGGAAACAAACCGGCTTAGTTTGCACACAACAAATGAGATGTCAGGACGAGTAGCACATACTAGGTACATCAGTGAACCAACCACTTGAGAATATCTCAATTGATCTACAGCCGTGCCTTCGAACTTTCGAATTCGCATGCTAGGATCATATGGTGTTGCAGAAGGTTTGCAGTCCGAATATCCAAAACGGCTCAAAATCTTCTCAACATAGTGGGATTGCAAAAGTGTAATTCCACCCTCAGAATTTCTCAGTAGCTTGATGTTCAGGATAACATCAGCCACACCCAGGTCCTTCATCTCAAAGTTGTGAGATAGAAAAGACTTGACCTCCTCAATGACCTTGAGGTGGGTCCCAAATATCAGTATGTCATCGACATACAGACACAGTATAACTCCTTCGCCCCCACCATAGTGATAGTATACACATTTGTCAGCTTCGTTCACAACAAAGCCAGCAGATGTCAGAGTAGTGTTGAACTTCTCATGCCATTGCTTAGGCGCTTTTCAGGCCATACAAAGATTTCACTAGCTTACACACCTTTCTTTCCTGACCATTTACTGCAAAGCCATCCGACTGTTGCATGTAAATTTCCTCGTCTAGCTCTCCGTTAAGGAAAGTCGTCTTAACGTCCATCTGATAAATGAGAAGACCGTGCGAGGCAGCCAAAGCGAGTAACACTCGAATGGTTGTCAGTCTAGCCACAGGTGAATAAGTGTCAAAGAAATCCTCTTCTTCTTTCTGAGTATAACCCTTGGCCACAAGCCTAGCCTTGTACTTTTCAACAGTACCATCGGGCCTAAGCTTCCTTTTGAACACCCACTTACATCCTAATGGCTGACAACCATAAGGACGATCAGTGATCTCCCATGTCCCGTTAGCCAAGATGGAATCCATCTCACTACGGACCGCATCCTTCCAATAGCCAGCATCCGGAGATGCATAAGCTTCTGAAATGGAGCTGAGAGTATCATCATCCACGAGGTACACGAGGAAATCATCACCAAAGGACTTTGCAGTCCTCTGTCTCTTGCTCCTAACAGGAGCTTCCTCGTTATCTTCCTTGAAACTCTTATCACTTTTATGTTCATAATATTCCATCGGAATAGCAGGTTCAGGAGTCTCATCAGATTTCAGTCTAGAATTGCTTTGCATATCTCTCATGGGGAAAATATCCTCAAAGAATGTAGCATTCCTAGACTCTATAATTGTACCGACCTTCTGATCAGGTACCTCAGATTTCACCACTAGAAATCTATAGCCAACGCTATGCTTGGCATAGCCAAGAAAAACACAGTCCACGGTCTTTGGTCCCATCTTGCGCTTTTTGATTATCGGCACGTTGACTTTCGCCAAACAGCCCCAAGTGCGCAAGTAAGAGAGTGTAGTTCTCTTCTTTTCCCATTGCTCATAGGGAGTAGTCTCATTATCCTTTGTGGGAACTTTATTCAGGACATGACAAGATGTCAATATAGCCTCCCCCCACCATGCCTTGGATAAACCCGATGTATCTAACATGGCGTTAACCAAATCGGTTAGAGTACGGTTTTTCCATCCGGCAACCCCGTTTGACTGGGGTGAGTAAGGAGGCGTCCTCTTATGAATAATGCCATGTTCCGCACAGAATAAATCAAACTCATTAGAAAAGTACTCTCCACCACGATCAGACCGGACTCGTTTTATTTTCTTCTCAAGTTGGTTCTCAACTTCAGCCTTATAGACTTTAAAGTAGTGTAGAGCCTCATCCTTAGTATTTAACAAATACACATAGCAGAATCTAGTGGAATCATCAATCAGAGTCATGAAGTATTTCTTTCCACCTTTAGTCAACACACCATTCATCTCACAGAGATCTAAATGTATGAGCTCTAGAAGTGCCAGGTGTCTCTCCTTCGCAGGCTTGTGAGGCTTACGAGGTTGCTTAGCTTGCACACACGCATGGCACTTAGAGCCTTTGGCTAAAGTGAAACTCGGGATTAAATCCATCTTAGCTAGCCGCGTCATACAACCGAGATTTATGTGACAAAGACGTGAATGCCAAACCTCAGATTCGTTCACATTAGAATGAATTTGGTTCACGACTTCATTACAGAAATCCTCCAGGGAAAGGCGGAACAAACCACCACAATCATATCCTTTTCCAACAAATAGTCCATACTGAGATACGACTACTTTGTTAGACTAAAATACTAACTTAAACCCTTCTTTGCATAGAAGGGAGCCACTAACGAGATTCTTCTTTATGGCGGGGACATGATGCACGTTCTTCAGTTGCATGATCTTTCCTGAAGTAAACTTCAGATCTATCGTGTCAACGCCATGAACAGAAGCATGCGAGCCATTCCCCATCAGGACGGAACAATCTCGTGTGACCTGGTAGGAAGAAAACAAAGACACATCAGCACACACATGAATATTGGCCCCAGTTTCAATCCACCAATCGGTGGACTGACAGACTGAAAGTATGGTAAGCAGATTACCATACCCAAATGCCGCGTCATTGTTGCTCAGAGTGACATTCACAGACTTGGAGTTCTGTGCTGGCTTCTTATACTTGTTTGGGCACTTGTTTGCCCAATGTTCATCTGAACCACAAGTAAAGCATCCATCTCTCTTTTTTTCTTTCTTCTTACCCTTCTTCTTAAAGGTAGTATTCTGCTGGACAGAGTTTTTTCCCTTGAACTTGTGGAAGTTCTTCTGCACCACATTGGCGCTAGAAGAACCCTCTGCCCCTTTCACATGCGAGTCCTTTGCTCTCGAGTTCTGCTCAACACTGAGATAACCAATGACATCCTCAACAGAGAATTCACGTCTCAAGTGCTTGAGAGAAGTAGCAAAGTTCCTCCAACTAGGAGGGAGTTTTGCAATAATGCAACCCGCAACAAACTTATCCGGTAACTCACACTTCAGGAGCTCCAGCTCCTTAGCAATGCACTGTATCTCATGAGCCTGGTCCAATACAGAACGGTTATCAATCATCCTGTAATCATGAAACTGCTCCATGGCATATAGCTCACTGCCAGCATCAGTTGCACCGAATTTGACTTCGAGCGCATCCCACAAGTTTTTTGGCAACACCCATATGAATATAGGCGTCAACCAACTTGTCTCCAATCACACTCAGAACTGCTCCCAGAAAGATTGTGGTTGCCTCCCTGAACGCCTTCTCCTCTTCAGGAGCAATCGTTTCTATGAGGGACACACCACCAACCCAGAACATGTTCATCGATGTGAGTCACAAGGTGGTCCTAGTCTGCCAACGCTTAAAATGCGTCCCGGTAAACTTTTCCGGTTTCAGAGTAGCAGCAAAGCCTTGAATCGAAAAGTGCCTAAAATAAGGTTTTTGGATTGTTGGAGATATTAGCACTTTTCCGATTAGGCTTATCCACGAGTAAACAGTAAGCATGGCATAAAAGGTATGCATCTCATAGCGATACCTAAACATACTAGCACGTGCAGAACATAGAATCGAACCTTCTGTGAGCAGCACATATACGGCTAGCATAAGTACGAGTAAACGAGGGATGAATAGATCATACCCTCCGGTTGGCCAAGCCAACGCGGCGGCTGCAGCAGCAGCCTCGGCGTCGTCCGTGGCTTTCTTCTTAGCGGCGGCATCGTCGGCCATGGTGTCGATGCAGAGGAAGTAGTGAAAGCAGAGGCGAACAAAGTTGGGGACGGATCGGGATCAGTCGCATCGAGACGCTCCCCAAAAACCTTATTGTCGTTCTCAACCCGCGGCGTGCGTGCGCGCGTCGTGACGAGGCATGGCGAGGCAGGCGGCGGAGGAGGAGGAGCACGCGTGTACCACTCCTCTTTCCAAACTCCCAATGGCAAGTGGTAGAGCAGCCCTTATAAAGGGGTCTCAACTCTCCTCAAGTGAGACTAAACTTCCCACCACCTGCCATCTCATACATGAGCCTCAAGATTAACCAGAGATTAGTGTCTTATATGGGCCTAAGCCCATCCATAATCCAACATGACCCAGTCTCAGTCGAGAGCCATCTTCCCTGCCGTCTGGTGAGGATTACATACCGAGTTTTTTACCTTCTCTCCACACCTCTCTCCACATATAGATCGCAGTCTATATCGCAAGATGATAGACACACCATCATCATCAACTTGGTTTTCTATAAAAGTAGAGATGGAGCAAGTCTTTTGCCCCGTCTAAAAGAATAACGATTCAACTCTGTATCAGGAAACACCATCACTTTCTCTTCATCACTTTACTCAGCCACCTTCGAGCCTGAGTACCACAGGGCTCATCCTTGCTTCCTGTGAAAATACTCATTGGTCACCGACGCTATCAGGTTTGCCGCGCTGCGACGTAGTTTTTGAGCTTCTGGTTTCTGCAACCCAGACCAGTACGATAACTAATAAAAAATTAGGAAAATGGTACTAGTGACACAATTGCTACTCCAGTCACAATGACACCTCTGATACCGACATGAAAAGCTTGTCCAACTTAGCAGTATCATCTACTGAACTACGCACTGCAGCGAATTAAAAGGACACTTAATCACACTCTAGATATATCTCGATATTGGACATGGAAAGAAAAATGATCAATCCCCTCGTCAAGATAGCAAAGCATACATTTGAAGCTGCCCATCCAGCCTCTATGCAACAGGGGTATCTTTAGTGAGAATGTTTTTCTTACTTAAGAGACACAAAAAGACATTAATTTTTAACAAGATCTTAATAAACCACAGACGAAAAGGAAAGTTTACTTGCCTAGCTAGCCTTAATAGCAATGTACATCGAACGAATTGTGAACTGGCCAGACTTGGTAGGAGACCAAACACATTTATCCTGCCCCACCCCAGGTTTCTCCTGAAACTGAGACAACTCAAGCCATCACAAAGAACCACAGCTACTGTTATATTTCTAATATTAGACAGATTATATAACCTAGAGCACTTTGAAGACTCAACGAGAGTACTTATGAGCTCTACACAATCTGTTGTGCAGCAAAGGGCTGGGCTTATTCAAGAGCATGATGGGACCCAAGTACAGTGGCCAGCACCTGCACTCAATCCTGAAGAAGCAGCTCGGTGACACACGAATCAGTCAGACACTCAAGAGCATCGTCATCCCCACTTTCGACATCAAGCTCCTTCAACCTATCATCTTCTCAACCTACGACGTACGTACATAGAAGAACAGAAACACATACATCTGTATAAACAACATGTCATCCACTCGACCATGAAAAAAAATCTGTACGTTACAGGCCAAGAAGGATGTCTCCAAGGATGCTCTTCTGTCGGATGTCTGCATCAGCACGTCCGCCGCTCCAACCTACCTCCCCGGGCACCATTTCAAGACCAAGGACAAAGACGGCAAGACCCGGGCCTTTAACCTCATCGACGGGGGTGTCGCAGCCAACAATCCGGTACGTTGCCCAAATTAGGCTTAAGATCTATACCAATTGACTTCTGTGATGTTGATACGTTTCTCACTGGCATACATTTATTTGCATAGACCCTTGTGGCGATCACCCACGTAAGCAAGCAGATCATAAAGAAGAAACAGAATCTCGGTAAGTTCATGGTCCTCTCGCTGGGCACTGGCACCGCCAAGGTCAAAGAGAACTTCGACGCTGCCGAGTGCAGCAAGTGGGGCCTTCTCGGGTGGCTCTATAACGGGGGCACCACGCCGATCATCGACAGCTTCTGCCAGGCCAGCGCCGACCTCGTCGATATCCAGGCATCCGTGCTTTTCGAGGCGCTACAGTGCGACATGCACTACTTGCGGATCCAGGATGAGCTCCCGGGCGAAACGGCCTCCGTGGACGTGTCCACGACAGAGAACCTCAAAAGGCTCATTGATGTTGGCAAGGCATTGCTGAAGAAGCAGGCGTGCAAGGTGGACATCGAGACAGGCAAGAACAAGGACGACCTAGAGAGGGGCACCAACGAGGAAGAACTTACCCATTTCGCCCGCATGTTGTCGCACGAGCGCAAAGCCAGACTTGGGGAGGCGGGTCTCAAAACTTAGATATGACTCTAGGAATATCGGCCCGGTTTGAATTTGATGGCCTACGCCATCAAGCGCTCTGTATGCAAGCAATGATTTATCTGATATTTGTTGTGCGTGCTTTAAATAAAGATTGTGAATCTCGTCACATCAGCGAGGTTGCATTGCAATATAAACTAGTAGGGTGGCCTAATGCATGGTTAGATTTGTCACGTTTTAAAACACTTTTATTTTTTATTTGTTTTACACTAATTTTGTGGCATTAGTTGCCATTCAGTACACATACCTACTTATAGAAAAGCTTGTACCCGAATGTGCTGTGAATAAACTTCATTTGGGAGTATTTCAGCTATTTTATTTGGTTCCATGAAAATCATTATTTGATTTTATTCATCACCCAATATATCCTTACACATGTGGAAAATGATTATACAACTTTTAAGCGAACTCTACTAGAAGACTTCCTACTAAGTGTCTCCTTATGTCAAACTACATAATATCGTATTATTTCTTCTTTTAACTTTTCCCCGTTTCATTCATCAGTCCGTCGGTCTATATCTTCCCATCAACAATTTTCAGATTAAGGTGAAGAAGTGGAGACGAGCAAAGTGATCATGGGAAGGAGCTGGAATTAGGGTACATGGTTGCCACCACCACGGGCGGGTTGGGGCATAACCCTTGCACTTATATGGGGTGCCGCTACCGCGCGTGAAACAGGGGACATGGACACCGTGGGAGGGAGGAAGGACTCCTAGGTGTTAGGAGCTGGATGTGACTATCTCGCATGAGTCAAGCATCGCCGCCGCATGGGGAACTAGGGGGTGTGGTCGTGCGGGATGGGCGTGGGAAGGAGCAATGACTAAAGTTCAGCGGAGAGAGATGCATTTATTTGAGACGGCTGGGTTGTATCCATCCTTGTGTATGCGTCAGCGTCGGGGAGGTTTTTTTTTACGATTTCATCTCATCTCAAGGGTAAAAATGTTAATGTTTGCAAAAAATGATAAAGTTTGTACCTGCTTACAGTCTCAATGCATGTTCAACTAATGGAATTGGCAAATCCTTTACTCGATGCAAAAT